ATAATTGCCCCGATTTCAAGGTTGTAGAATCGATACCCCTTATTATGGTCAGGGTAACCAATAAAGATTAATTTCACAGTTTTAGGTTGAAGTTTGGTCTTTTTTTTGTATGGGATTAGGATATGGGTTGAGTATCCCCATACTCTTAGATGGTCAAGGGAATGAGTATAACCAATTAATATTTCATGAGGAGTAAGTGAGGAAGCTTTTGTGGGAATCCAATTAAGGATATAACAATGCCGTCAACCTGGCTTTTCCCCAAAATTTTAGAAATAGCATAGCATGCCCCATCATACTCCTTACTATTTCAACCAAGGTCTTATTATGTCTCTCGGCTTCACCATTTTATTCCGAAGTATAAGGCATGGTATAGTCATGAATAATTTCACTTTCTACACATAAGTCTTTGAAAAGTTCAAATGAGTATTCAACCCTTCTATGGGTTCTTAGGACTTTGATTCTCAAGTTCGCTTGGTTCTCTATCTTGGCTTTATATTCATTAAACCTTTCTAAGGCTTTGGATTTAGGACCACATATGTCACAATGAATGATTTCTAGCACGTTGGTAGCTCTTTTTTTGTCCCTATGGTATTTTTCCTTGTTAGCTTTCCTTGCGCGCAAAACACATACTTGTGATAAATCTCCTTTATAATTTTGGAAGATTCCATCCTTTTTCAATCTTTATATTCTTTTGATGTTTATATGTCTTAACCGCATATGCCATAGGGTAGCATCCAAACCACTTGGGGACAAGACATAAGCAATATTTTCTTTCATTTCAATGGCGTAAAGACCGTCCACAAGACGTCCGATCATAACATAGTTATTTCCATCACCTTATCTCCAAGGAAGGCAGTGACAAAACCCGCTCTAGCTATCTTGGGAACCGAAACTAAGTACTTTCTCATATCGGGAGCATAAAGTGCTTGCTTTAGATCAAGACGCTCCTACTTTTAAATTGTAGCTCATAATCCCCAACTCCAAATACATCGGTCTTTTGGCTCCCTCCCATATAAATATGTTGCTCACCCGGCCTCACGAGAGTAAAAAAGCGGAAGTCATCCTTGGTGTTTGTGACATGAGTCGTAGCCCCCGAGTCAAGACACCAAAATGCACCCTAGGAGCGATGTTTTTAGGACCACACAAGCAAGTTCCTTATTGGTCCTACCAACTTTGTTGGACCGACAATAATTGGCTAGGTGGCCCACCTTTTTGTAATTAAAGCAAGTCTTAATCTCCCTCCTTCCGTTATTTCCAAATTTCTTTTCTTATCATCCCCTCTCTTTCAAAATTTGTTTCTTCCCTTTCCTCTCTTAGGTTCAAAGAAGTGTTGTAATTTTGCCATGTGTCTGATCTCCCTTTGAGTTGGTTCAAGCATGGGTGTTGGTGCAAGCGTGGGTGTTGGTGCATGCTTTGAGTTCCTCCTCTCTTCCTCATCTTTGATCGCCTTGATAAGCTCCTCCAACTTCGGGGCATTTTGACGAGCAGAGAAAGAAGTCACAAAGGTTTCCCACGAGTTTGAAAGTGAGTTCATGCGATGAACCACTTGCATGGGTTTCAAGGGTTTCATGCCGGAAGCCTCCATCTCTCGGACTAGTGCACGAAAAGTGTGCACATGGTTCAATATTTTTGTCCCTTCGAACATCTTCAATTCATTGTATTTCTTCATGGCCATGGCTTGTTTCATGGCAGAGGGATCCGCATAACTCCCTCTCAAGCCTATCATAGATCCTCCTTGAGGAGTTAATGGGCTCATATTCGGAACCATATGAGTCGGTCATTACGTATAATAGAATATACCTACACCTCATGTTTTTGTGCTTCCATGAAGCATACTCATCTTTGGTTTCTTGAGATGAGTTATTTCTTAGTCTATCAGGATGGTTCTCATAGAGCATCTCTTGTAAGCCTTCCTCATAAAGCAAATATAACATCTTTCTTTTCCATAAGGTATAGTTGTCTCGATCAAACCTTTCGGATTTCAGGATCTTCGAGATGCAAGTACGAGCAGCCATATCTAATTCTCAAGCTAAATCTAGACTCAAGTAAAGAGAAAAGACTCTGAATGGCAACAAGTATTAATGGCTTTGATACCAATGAAAGTTGGACTTATGTAAGCCGATGCATATATTCGTTCTTTTTTTCTTCTCTTTCTTTTTTTTTTTTTTTATTTTCTGGCTTAGATCACTTACAAGTAATCCATTACAAAAAAATCAACTTCAAAAGAAATAAAGAAAATAAATCTAAGATCTAAAACTTGATGCCACTTAAAAACCTTTTTTTTAATAACCAAAGAAAATTACAATGTTATGCTTGAGAATAACAAAATACACAAGAAATAAATATGACAAGAAATAAGAAAGAGAGTGTCGAAGATTACCTCAATCGGGTTAATTATACCCCACACTGAGTCACCACCTTCCAATAGTCAACCTTCAATCTCAATCCTATGAAAGCAATTAGGCCATAGCCTCCAATCAAATATGAACTCCTTTCAAAAATATTAATCTCAAACTAAAGATTAACCCCTTGATAACCTAGTCGAGAGAGATATAATCTATTTACTACACCCTTAACCCATAGGTCATTAGAAACAAGATGGGAGAGAGAGAGACCTTTTACAATGAGTGGGGCGTGCCCTTTTTTTTGGGCTTAGAGATGGAAGGCATTATCTAACTATATGAGGCATGCTCTTATCTTTGAACTAGGGAGAGAGAGAGAGAGAGAGAAATCTATGGCAGGGGCGTGCCCCCATATCTTACGAGAGAGAGACGAGAGGAGATTTTAGGCATGTGAGATATAGGAGACGGCATCCCTTTTTACAATGCTTAAATAAGTTTAGGGTTTCTTAAGCTTTTCCTGGTTTGCCTCTTCTAACAAGATTGAATATGCATCATTGATCTTGAGTGACTTGTTTGATGAGAGATATAAGTTCTTTACTCCTTAGATAGGTCATCATATAAAAGGTGCTAAAACCTTTATCCCCCATTTTCTAAATCATTTTCCCATCAGTTAATTTAAATAAAAAAATATCTATAATAGTATTGTGCTTTCATATTTTCATGTACACGACTTCTCACACTTTCCTTATTCAATTTCAAAGTTTCCTTCAAACACAATCTTTCCAAAACATAAGCTTTATTCACCCTCAAGCCATAAGCTTGAATTAATTAAAAGAAAAGTCTGCAAGGTGGGGCGTGACACCCTAGGTGGCACATCATGGGCCCCAACAGATTGTTATGGTAGGCCCATATACACATTTGGGCCTTCCATGCAATATGATAATTATTTAAAATAATTTATGATTTTTAGAAATTCATAAAATTTGATTTAAATAATTAAAAATTAATATCTATGCTTTTATAAATTCAAATTTCATAAATACAATACCCAAAGATTTAGAAAATTCAAATAACAATTCTAAAAATCATATAACATTAAAACAAACATAATTAAATATTTCGATGGAAAATGATCCATATAGTCTATAAATAAATAAATAAACACCGGGATACTCCACCTTCTACTATGGACTATAATTCACACTTACTTTTTCAAACCGACCTAGTGTTGCTCATAACCCATAGTCTATACAAGGACTCACTAATGGGTCACCAAAGTCTAGTCAATGAGTAAGGGGTTATAATCTCAGTATGTGGATTTCAGGTTCTCCCCTATAAATGTATCAAAGCCACTTAGACCTGATGCAACCATAGTTCTATGGTGCATAGGGGTAATCTCTCGCATATGCACAAGCTTCACCCTGAATGGCGATTCGCTTTCTCGAAATACCTATCATTGTGTATGTCGTGTGATAGTACACGGATGGGGCTTTGGCCCCTGTCTCTAAAGGCCACCATCACACACAAAGCCACATAGTCTCTCGGTACACTCATCCAGGCATACACCGACCTCATTAAAGGATGACTCATTATAACTCTTATCAGTTTAATCTTTATGCCCATGTAATATGCGTTTTTCGCAACCAACTGGCCTAGCTTGTAACCCTCAATCCGGTATTAGGAAATATCATTTGCTTAGTTTGCTCCACACAGGACCACAGTCTCACTGAGTTCATGTTTCATTTTTCTTCTTTGATAATTGTACTTTTGAAGTTCATTTTAATATTTTTTAAAATCTAAAATAACTCAAGGATAAGCGAGAGATTACCTTGAGAGTGGTGAGTGGTGAGACCACAAAGGATTCCATGTAGAAAGGTAAGGAGTGGTGAGATCGCCCAACTCAAGGATACCCAAACTCTCGTGAGAGTGGTGAGTCCAAGTTGGCTCGCCCGAGTTTTCCTCCTCCGGTGAATTGTTAGATACAAAGTAAGGAGTCATGTACGTCTCCGAAGTCTTGAATTGAGTGATAAACATAATTACCTGGTACACCTGAAATTCTAAAACTGTGATGCATTATTGATAAAATAAAAAATCATCTGAGCAATAGGGCAACAATTTGGGAAAAGGTTGAAGTCCTGATGGTAGCACCCCAAACCTTAATCACCATGTTGTGGTTTCCATTCCTACCACCCCACTAATACTTTCAAAAAGCTAACTCCTAATCTACTAAAAAAATCGGGCAAGAGCATGTCTTCCCCACTGCATTACCCAACCCACTGCATTATCCAAAAAAAATAGGGCAACAATTTTTCAGTTATCAATAGAGGGAATTATCTTGTCGTACAAGGACCTTGCACAAACAGACTTTGCACTTTCAGAGGAGACAGTGTGAGGTGGGGGAAAATATTTGTTGTTTTATGCTCATTTTATTTTTTCCAATTATTTGAAATTTCACTTTTTCCTTTTCTTTTCTTTTTTTTCCTGTAATTGTAGTTAGTGTGCAGTCCACTCTTCTAGTAAAGAGATAATAGTCAAAGTTCAATGCTGCCCACATGCTTCCAGTTACCACAAAGGATTCAATGTAGAAAGGTAATTCTCACTTGGTCACCATTGTAGTAGGGTACACAACATGCACAAAACAGAGCCAAAAGACAACAATAAAAAGAACTATCCAAATATTACATCTTTATCCTTCGAGGTTTCAAACATCTTCAATAATAACTGTCAAAATTTGTCATCATTCTTTTGGGGTGGTTCAACAAAAAGCAAACTTGGATGTAGTGTCACAATCATTAACAACTAATCGATCAAGCCCAAGCCTGATTTGTCAGAACTTGCCATTTATCATAAAAAATTGAGCTCGGCCTATGCCAATCCTCAATCCTCAAGGATGAAATGGGGAACATTATTCCAATTGGTTCACTTAAACCAAAAGATGGCCTTCAAACCCAAAAAAAAATATATGAATGTTTATTCCACTCTCATAGGTAAACATAGGACTCAAACTGTCAACACAAAATATATGGCTAGGAACCATCCTAATGGAAACCCATACACATTATGCCACCTCAATGCCTGAGCAAGCTGACGGATGATGCACATCAGATTCCAAAAACTTTTAATTTTCGGTAGAGAACACTATCGATACAAGTCGATTTCGAAACAGACCCTTACAAGTCCATGTCATCCATTTCAGGTACTCCTTTTAGCCGTGGGCCACTTTTTATCTCTGGATCGGTCACAGCTGCCTCAGTTGTTGTTAGCAGCAGGGACACACTACCAATATGCAACAACATACAATACACAGACTTGAATAACCATTTTCACAAACATATATAGAAGCACCCAGTGTCAGAGAGAGAGAGAGAGAGAGAGAGAGAGAGACCTGGCAGCATCGACTAGGGCAGTTCGAACAACTTTGAGTGGGTCGATAATTCCAGCTTTCACCATGTCAACATACTCACCTGATTCACCAGGGAAGAGAAGTCAGTGTACATATGAAAGGGGTTTGTTCAAATTTCTTATCAAAATTGTCTTAGTGGGTGAACTTCAGACATGTATGGAGAAAATCTAATGTCCAAAGCCGAAAATTTAGTAACAGGGGGGTCTAAATCAATAACTTTGTTTTGAAAGTACTTCTGTAGAATCTGCTCTATAGAGGCTCAGTTCTGTACATGATGAGAGTACACACTTTTAGGGATGTAAGCAACAGAATACTCATACATCAATGGAGGAAAAGGGAGAGGACAAGGACAAATACAGAACTTGATATTTGCTCCAGACAGAATCCACTGAAAAAAAACCTCCAGAGGGTAGAAGGTGTGACAAGGGCCCTGACTTTGTAATGCAATAGGTGTCTAAAAGAGGGTAGGCTAGCTTGGTTAATTTTTTGGACAAACAAAACCGGATGTCTTACAAGCAGGCCAAATTCTAAAAGATAACAATTAAAAGACCGCAATACAACAGTTCTTCAGCAGAAAGGGAATGAATAAGGTAAATGTAGACAAGAAATAATGGCAATCAATGAAGACCTTCACCCAATATACCTGTTCTTTTAGGATGCCTTTTTGTTCCTCATTATTAGGCAATTGTACTCATCAGTTGTCTTTTATCATGTACCAGGCCCTCTTAAATTCTATATTATTTTCTCTAGACAACAGATTCACATATTTGGCATTGCCACCCTCTCTCCTCATAAAGGTTTCCAAATTGATGTTGGTAAATAAATTTTTTCTGTAAATAAAGCTACATTCTCAAACTTCAGATATGATTAGATTTTTTAATATAATTTGCCAACAGAAATACATGGCTAATTAACAGATAGTGTTTTCCTTGGATTTATTTTATTAAGAATATTTGAATGTCATAAATCAATAAATTCATGGATAATGGTATGATTTTCCATATTTTACATTTTCTGCAATTAGCAAATTACAAATATTTAAAAATTTTGAAATTTCATCTAGTGATTCTATTAAAAGCTGAATTTCATAAGAAATCTGTTCTCTAAATTATCTTTCTATCTTCTCAAGCCGAATACCTGCTTATGCATTGTATGGGCTGTAGATTAGGCTAACAGGTAGAATCCTAAATTATCGTCAGGAATCATATAAGAAACTGATGAGTTTGATGTTTCTATTGTTTCCAATGGTTGGACAGAGATATTCTATGCTTCAATGGGTATGATTTTTCCAACCAACACATTATGGAGTCCATTGGACCATTGCGTATGGTCCAATATTTGACAGCTAATGCCACTACTGAAATGTTATGAGGATTCATCATACAGCACAGGCATCCAAAATTTTATGCCCAGGAGGTCTACAAACCCCATGAAGTAGGTTGATGAGAAAGATTGCTATATATATCGAAGAAGTATTTCCAACTTTGAGATCCAAAGGGCATAAAAAACAGTTCTGTTACAAATAGAAATCCAGAAAATCAGATCATTTACCAATAATTTATATATATAAAAAGATTTAGCTATTATCATACTATTTTGAGAAACACTAGGAGGAGGTTATGATAGCTTTATGGTCTATGGTCTTGAGAGATCAGGAAAGTCTCTCAAAAGCGGTGGCTGAAGTGAAAATATGATTAACAATTAATAATTATGGATGATTAGCTTTAGAATGAAATAAAGTTGATTTTCAAGTGCACCAAGCATGTCCAGAAAACGACTAAATTCGTGAATTCTAACAAGACCATTGATGAGGCCTACAGCAATTATACTGAATGTTCAAGCACATCAAGGAAGCCCTTTTATGATGATGTTTTTTTGCATAGGAATGTGAAATGCTCTGGTGTTAAGTAATGATACAAAGTAATTCTTCCCTTGCAAGGCACTGCATTTCTTTACTCTAAATATTACCCATAAGAAATCCCTCCATCTTGATAAGGAGGTTTTGAAGTGACACCTTAACCAAAAAGACAATATTGGATGAGACAGAGAGCTTGGGTACCAACAAGCAAGTAATTTTTACCCTTTACACATCTCCAAGCCAAAGCCAACATTTAATACTTGGGAGCAATCCAAAGTTGCATTCTAAGGTCATGAAGGTGATACATTAACATATTAAGTCCAGAGAGATGTCGAGCACATACATGTATCTTCAATGTCTGGAACTAAATAGGTTAAACTGCAGCTCAAGTTGAATCATTGATCCATATCCACTATAACGGAAGGGTTGTAAGCTAATAGTGGATCCCAAAATGAAATAAAAGAGATTGGATGTTTATATTGAACAACCACCTCAAATACAATAACGATACACTGAAGGCATAAGATGCTTCTCTTGATATGGAGAATAATCGTGTCTTAGCAGAGTTTTATAGACACAACAAATGCATAAACTTCCAGCTGCCTCAATGGATCATTCACAACCACCTCAGCCAAGACATATATCTATCATTTAAATAGTTTTGAATATTCTTACACACTATTTATGTGCATAACACTAGCTTTCACTAAGAGCCTCCCAATGTTGGATTCATGTGGCCTTTCAAGGCTTCAACATCGATATACAGTTATCCATACAATGGATTGTTGGCTCGAGTGGGAACATAAGATCTGAAAGGGGACTGGACAGAATGAAACCTCAACTCATCTGACATGCGTGACTCGATTGGGTATAGGGCCCAGAAGAGGTGTATAAGAGTCACAAAAACCATGTTAACACGCATGGGGGCTTCTAGCCCGTATTATTAAAATACTCTGACCTCAATCGAGGTCAGAGTATTTTCCCATGGTTTTGCCAGGAGGTAGAACACACTCCCACCTGAGGGATGGCCCATAAGGATAAGGGCAAGAGTAGAAGACATCCAAGTAACTTGGTGCAGGAGTTCTAATTTATCTCAACACTCATGGAAAGAATATAATTCCCAAGCCAGCTCCCGTGCTAAAGAATGGTTCAACAGGACCAATTTGTTTATACATCGAATAACAACTTGACGAACAATTCTCCCCTGCTAAAGAATGGTTCGACAGGACCAATTTGCTTATATATCGAATAACAACTTGAGGACAAATTTGTCTAACTTTCCTGTATAAACCACACTACCAGTTTGTATATCACACACACACAGGATCAATTTGTTTATACATCGAATAACAACTTGAGGAATAATTTGTCTAACTTTGCTGTATAAACCACACTAACAGCTTGTATCTCTCTCTCTCTC